ATTCAGAGAAACGCTGCTGCTGCTGCCACCGTCCCCTCCTCCATCCACTTCTGCCTTGGCTTAAGGGAACTCCTTAATCCTAGGGAGGACAAGCCATTGACTTGATTGCAGGGGGTGCCTTCCACTCTGGGTATGGGGGTGAAAGGGACACTTTTGCCGGGAATAAGAACTTCATCACTGGGGCTAGGGAGATGGTTCAGTAGTTAAGAACACTGACTGTTTATCCAGAGGACTCAGGTTCAGTTCCCAGCGTCCCCATGGCTGCTTACAGCCAATTCCAAGGTAAGCCCCCCCCCACATACATACCGCTAGGCTCATACACATAAACGGACTCTACAGTGCATATATGATTAATAACAAGCATAGTATAGTGGCTCGGGACTGTAAGTGAGGCTGAGGCAGGGTGATTGCTCTAAATTGGAGTCCAGTTAGAGTTAAGATTCACATGAGGAGGGATAGATAAGACTGGGTATAACTCAGTGGAGTGCTTGCCTAGAATCCATAAAGCAGGCAAGCAAATCTCTGGACTTGAGGACAGCCTAAAGTCTTACCAAGTGAGTTCCAGGACAGCCAGGGCTGCACAGAGAAACCCTGTCTCAAAATCAGAAAACCCAAACAAGCCGGGCGGTGGTGGTGCACGCCTTTAATCCCAGTACAGAGAGACAGGTGGATCTCTGAGTTCGAGGCCAGCCTGGTCTACAAGAGCTAGTTCCAGGACAGGCTCCAAAGCCACAGAGAAACCCTGTCTCGAAAAACCGAAAAAAAAAAAAAAAAAAAAAAAAAAAAAGAAAACACAAACAAGCAACAACAACAAAACCCACAGGAAATAGGATGGTTATGAAATGTGGACAAGATTTTCCTTAAACCTCTTTAATCTCAGGTTCTGGGTTAGACAAGCCACCAATAGCCTGTGCAGTGGGGGATCCTATAGACGGGTCTTGCGGGCACATAAGTCTTAGCACTCCCCACCCCGAGTGTGTGGACTGTGGATGTCCTGGCACATTCTGGCTGAAGCTTGAGTCTCCCTGACCTGCTCCCCTGCTGGTCCTCACATCCCCAGGATGGCTTGTCAGCGCGCTACAGATGAATTTTCCTAATTTCCACATGCCCATTGAGCTGCCCTCCAGTGCTGGATCCCCGACTCTGTCAGAGCAGGCAGAGGACATGAAAGCCACCGGCTGGTGGTGCCTAAGAAGCGGCCTTTTTTTTTTTTTTTTTTTTTTTGGGTGTAGCCATTGCCTTTAATGGCCAATGCTGGCAGTTCCTACTCTTGGGGCAGTTACTGAGTTTCTCCTAGATCTCCTTGCTGGAATGGGGCTTGGCCCTCCAGATGTGTGTGGTGCCTTTTTACCTGTGGGGCATAAAAATTGCTCCACCTGGTCTGTTGGAGCAGGGTTGTTTAGGCAAGCAGTGGTGGAGGAGTCAGTGGGGCTCATAGATAGTCGCCATTTTATAAGATTTTTTTCCCTCATTATTGTGAATGAACTTAAATACTGTCTCTCCCACGCTTGTCCACCCTGCCTTCTGGTCTCTCAAGTACTAACAAGAGCTTTACTGGAGTTAGTTTCTGCCAGGAGAAACCAATGTGAAGTGAAGTGGGAATTGGTTGTGCTCATAACCCGATGGATACATCAGGAAGGAGCTTCTTCTAGGCCACTGGTTCTCAATTTTCCTAGCGCTGTGACCCTTTAATACGGTTCCTCATGTTGTGGTGACCCCAACCTCAAAATTATTTTTCTTGCTACTTCAGAACTGTAATTTTGCTACTGTTAAAGCTGCTAGGCAACCCCTATGAAAAGGGTTGTTAGATCCACCAAAGTGGTCTCCACTCACAGGTTACTCAGCACACCAGCCTAAACCAGCCAGCTCGGCCTCCCCTCTTTGGGAAATAATGAGTTATACAGGGGGGTTGTAATGTCAGCACGGGAATTCAGGTTACAGGTCTCAGCATTGTCCTGTGCGGTTTGGGCCTGAAAGGAATCAGATAGCCCCACACTCAGAGGAAAACCAGACTTAGAAGACAAAGGTCCTTGGATGCCTCAGCTCTTCCAGGCCATCCCCTCCTGTTTTAATCAGGGCTGGGGGCTTTGCTGAAAAGGAAGCCTAGGAGAAGCCTACAGTGGGTTCTCAGGGTGGGGTGTGTGCCCTAGGGGGGTGAGGGAAGGCTGCTGGGATGTCTTTCTTTCATTGGTTGGGTGGCCCTGCCCTCCCCCCTCCTGGAACATTCCAGACATTCCAGCCGATCTGCCTGCCATTGCTTTCTGGATGTGGACTAGCATCCTTGCAGAGATGTGATTTCTCTGCTACCACCTCTCCTTTCCTGAATAGAAAGCTCTGAAGCAGTTTGAAGAGGGAAGTTTTGGCCTTGAACTTGGAGTGCACTAATGGGCTGTTTCCAGACTAGGCTCTTGTACTACGGTTTGCTTTCTGCCTTATTACTTGGACTGTTAGCACTTATCCTATGCTCTCCATCCAAAAGGATTTGCTGGAAGGAGGTGCCCTGGGCTGGACCATTCCGCCTTTAGACCAAGGCAGTGTTCATTTCTTTTCCCAGATTCTTCACCAAGTCAGTGCGTCTTTTTGGTCATCATGTGTTTTGTGAAAATCCCGTAGGGATATCTACAACTTCATTTTGGCCAGTCCTTGGACCTGGTTCCTGATGGGATGAAGTCTAAGGACTCAGAAATTAGTTTGATGACTCTGTGTGTGTGTGTGTTTGGGTGCTGGGATCACAGGCATTGGCGCCATGCTTACCATTCTGTGCCGAAACTTGAATTCAGGGCTTGTGCTTACTGGGGAGTACTGTCCCCGCTGAGTTATATCTGTTTGTCTTTCCTCTCCGTCTTTTGGTTTTTTGAGACAGGGTTTTTTTCTTTTTGTATGTGTGTAACCTTAGCTGTCCTGGACCTCATTATGCAGACCAGGCTGGCCTCAAACTCAGAGATCCGCCTGCCTTGCTGGATTAAAGGCATTCACCACCACTGCCCAGCTCATTTAACTATTTCATCCCAGAATGTCCTTGCTGTGGCTCATATATAAATACTTGTCATTGGCAGAATTTCAGACTAGAAGGGGTAACAGAGACCCTCTATTTTATTTCCCTGAGACTAGACTCTGCCTTCGTAAAGATACTGGCCTGGGACAGCCAAGGCCAATGCATCCAGTTAGGACATAGCATTCGTATTCTCTGCCTCCCCCTCCCCAAACTGGATAGTAGCTCATCTGGTAGGTCACTGAGGCCTGCCATCAAGTGACTTAAATCTTTATTTTATATTAGCGTGCATAACTGTTTTGCCTGCATGTATATGCAGTGCCCATGGAGACCAAAAGAGGGCCTCTGATTCCCCTCCAGTTACAGGGGCTCTGACACGTCCTATGTGTGCTGGCACTTAAACCCTGCTCTTCTAGAAAAGCATTTAGCTGTTAGCTGCCAAGCCGCCTATCCAACCCCTAAACTTTGTCTTTGAACTAAGGGCTTGTGCAGGATCAAAGATACACAGATATAAATGAAAATTGACTAACACATCAAGTCAATTGAAATGTTTTAAACTCCCGGATTAAGGTATTGATTTGGGTGGCCAGCAGTTGCTCTGGGAGTTAGCCCTGAACCTGAAAGTGATCCTCACGGGAAATATTTCCTTTTCAGAGCGCTTTGAAAGCTGGGATGGAGTAAGAATAGTGTAGTGACCGGGCAGAGAAGGTGTGGTTTCTGGCTTGTGTTGATCACTCTGGAGACTTCTCCGCTCCTAGATAGATCTATTGTTACAGTTTAAGGACTTATTCCAACTCCTTACAAATATTATCTAATGCCACCTCCCACCTGTGAATAGGTATTATCCCTGTTGTACAAAAGGGGAGACTGGGCCTCAAAGAAGTTAAGTAATCTTCTAAAGATCCGTGCTAATAAGTGGTTTAGATCCCTCATTGTGCCAAGGGCTTACCCACTGTACTATTATCTTCTGTAATTGTTGGCATATATTGTTTCCCCTAATCCGGGGTGAGCACCTGGGCCAGGCATTCCACCTTCTTTTCATCCCACAACCCCAACCTCAGGAGCAAAGTAGAGCTTGAGGGAGTTGCCAGTGAAAGACTGTTGAATTAGTTAGTCTTACTTGTCTTGAGATTTGTTTATTATTTTACTATGTATGTGTGGGTATGTTCTTGTGAGTCGGGTGCCTGAGGTGGCCGAGGCGTTGGATTTCCTGGAGCTAGAGTGCCAAGCAGTCGTTGGCTGCCTCACATGCACATTAGGGATCAAACTCGGGTCCTGTAAGAGTTCCCGCACCATTTCTCCAGCCCCGTGACTTTGCCGTAGTGCTGGACACTACATGGGAAAGCTAAGCTATAGCAAACGCCAAAACCTCATGTGGTCCTTTGCTGAGAGCATCTGGTTCCGCGTTCCTCCCCATGATCCTACTAGTAGTTGGGCTGTAAAATGAGGCTTCCCTGCTCTAAAGTCTGCGTTCCTATTGGGTTGCTATTCTTTTTGGTTTGGTTTGGTTTACCTGAGTTGGGGTTTCACTGTATACTTTGGCTATCATCGAATTTTTTATGAAGATCATGCTGGCCTCGATCTCAGAGAGCTACCTACCTGCCTCTGCCTCCCAAGTGCTGGGATTAAAGGCGTGAACCACCACCACTTGGCTTCAATTGCTTCCCAGCCCTCCACTCCTGCCTTGGTTTCTCTGTGTATCTCTGCCTGTTCTGGAACTCACTCTGTAGATCAGGCTGGCCTCACACTCACGGAGATCCACCTGCCTCTGCCTCCCTGAGTGTTGGAATTAAAGGCATGTGCCACCACCACCGCCTGGCTTTCGGTCACTATTTTAAGGGCTGGGGAATCTAACCTGAGTTCAGTCCCTGGCCCTGTGGAGGAAGCCACCGTTCTACGATTTTGGTAAGATAGCAAGCTGGGACAAGAGTTAGTTAGAGACTGCCAAGTCATGGGGGCCTAAATCATCTGGAATTTTCCTAATTTTTTTTTTTCCCTTTCATTTCAGGAGTCGGAAAATTCAGATCCGAAATATTCCACCTCAGCTCCGATGGGAAGTAAGTGTTTGTGGAAGTGCCCAGTGGGGTGGAGTGCAGAGACTGGTGTCCTGCTGAGTTGGTGGACGCAACTAGAGAAGTCTCCCTTGGGTATTGGGTGGGGTCTCATTTGTGCTCAAACTCTGGGCAAGAGGCATTAAGGAGGTAGAAATGTTCTCCTGAGTTTTAGAATCCTGATGGCAAAAGTCTGATTCTGCTTTACAAAGTCCCTTAGCCCAGAGCCAGGGATATTCTTGCAAACACTAGGGTTGTTATCGGCAGGAGTCTAAGGTGTTGGAACCTTAGGCGAAATGTGATCCAAATGTCTAGTTCCTGCTGTTGTCCCAGAGCTTTAGGGCAAGGGGTGTCCGGGCCCTGGGATACTCAGCCTTCTTCTACTTCTCCAGGTGCTGGACAGCCTGCTGGCCCAGTACGGTACGGTGGAGAACTGTGAACAAGGTAAAACTGGGTCAAGGGATGAGGGAGTATGCAAGGACTTGGATTGCTTCAGCATCAAGCTGTTCTGTGATCAGATCCACTGGGAAGATCCAGACAGAGTGGATGTACGGGAGATATCCAGCTCCAGCACGTTCCCTGCTGTGTGCGGAACCATGGGACTGGACTGCTGTGTGTTAGGCAGTCTGGACTCCTCTCTTGCTGGCCTTGAATTCAGATCTGCCCGCTTCTGCTCAGTGTGGGATTAAAGATGTGGACCACCACACCTGACTTTATCACCCTTTGTTAAGGAGTCTAAGTCCCAGGCTAACAGGAATCACAGTATTTCAATAGAAGTTTAAGAACAGGAATTTGTAGGGGCTGGGTGCACTTAGTCCCAGCTATTGAGAGGCAGGGGCAGGAGAATCTCTGGGTTTGAGGCCTGTTTGGCCTAATCAAGCTCCTGGATTAGGTGGAGAGCCCTTGTTTTCTTTTTCCTTCCTTCCTTCCTTCCTTCCTTCCTTCCTTCCTTCCTTCCTTCCTTCCTTCCTCCCTCCCTCCCTCCCTCCCTCCCTCCCTCCCTCCCTTTCCTAGAACTAACTCTGTTGTCCAGTCTGGTCTTGAACTCAGATCCACCCGCCTCTGCCTCCCAAATGCTGGGATTAAAGGCATATGCCACCACGCCTGACTTACCTGGGGGGAAAAAAAATTCCTGGGTGTGGTAGTATACACTTTTAATCCCTGCTGGATCCAAAACTTTCCTGAGTGTAGCCTGGTTTACAGAATGAGATCCAAGACAACTAGAGCTACACAGAGAGGCTCTGTCTTGGCAAAGCAGCATAAAATAAAAGGAGCTTGGACAGGGAGTTGGGGAGAGTGCTGGAGAGATGGTTAAATGACTGGCTGACTGGCTGCCGTTCTGGAGGACCCAGCTTTGATTTCCAGCACCCAAAGGCAGCCCATAGCAATCTAATTCCACTTCCAGAGGAACTGAAAAGTTGGTTGAAAAGTCCTCACATCAACTGGGCAGTGGTGGCTGGTGGCGCACAACCTTAATCCCAGCACCCGGGAAGCAGAAGCAGAGCAAGTTCCAAGACAGCTATGGCTATCCAGAGAAACCAAAAAAAAAAAAAAAAAACTCTGACCCTTACCCCCCAAAACAAACAGGGTTTATTCACTAATAGTTTGTGTAGGCAAAATCTTTTGACAGATGTGCCCACAGAAAGAAGAATAATAGGAATTCTAGGCCATACAATTAGCCATGATTTTGAGAGTCCTCTGTTTCTAGGCGTGTAACCTCTTGCAGAGAAAATGGGCTTGTGATGTTTGGTTGCACATAGGGTTGTGTTAGACACGTAAGAGTATCGCATGTTAATGGATGCCGTGTGATACGTGTGTAGCATGTTCTGCTTAAATCACTGAAGCATGAGTCTCCTCACTTTGTCATTTCTTTGAGAAGATGCAGAATCTTGCAGCTCACTGAAATACACGATGCAGTGTGGTCTGTGGCCGTCACACCACGCAGAGAAGCATCCTGGACTGTGTCTCCTGTCCATCAGTCAGCCCCTCCCCAGGCCTCCCTTCCCTGTTACTCCCCCACCTTCTATTCTCGAGTTCAATGGGATCACGTTTCCTCCTCCCAGTATTTTTATCTTTCCCATTTCCCCTCCTTTTCTTCTCCTCCTTCCCTCCCGTGTCCCTTCCATTCTCCCCATCTGCCTTCACATTCCTGAGAGTGTGCGGTGACTTGTCCTTTAGAACCTGGCTTGTTTAATTTAATCTAGTCACAGGTGACAGGATTTGAGGTTTTTATGACTAAATAATATCCAGTCTGTGGAGTTATGGTGCGTGAGCGGTGCCCCCTGTGGCCGCTTTAGGTCGGTGCATTTCTTTCTTGCGACTAGTGCTGCAGCCCACTTTTGGAGATCTTTAAGGAGCAGCGATTGCTCTGTCTGGGGTATAAATATTCATTTCTAAATTCTCTGTGGGAAGGGACAAGGTGTGTGTGCTGACAGATGATCACAGGAGTGGCCTGCTCAGCAGTGAAGTGCCGTTTTCTCTGCTCTAATCCTCTGACTTGTCTAATGGCAGAACGTAGTGGGATTTGCTGAGAGCTATTGCCCAGTTCTGCTTCCAACTGAACTCCTGAGTTAGACACACCTGGGGGCCACACTGAGCAGGCAGCCAGCTGCCACTGAAAGGAATAGGCTCCTTCAGGTTGACACCTTAATCTGTCCCTGGAACCCACATGACGGATAGAGAGAGCTGACTCCCTCTGACCTCCACATCTGAACACACACGCACGCATGCATGCACTAATTTAAAATAGTTAAAAGGATCCCACAGATCTGCTCAAGGCTCTCACCAGCCCAAGCTGGCCTTAGACACGATTCTGCTTAGGGATTGCAGGTCTACACCACCCACACATAGCTCAAATGTATGGTTTCTTTTTAAGGCAGAGCCTTGTTATGTAGTCTTGGCTGGCCTCACGCTCACTTCTGGCCACGGCTGCCCAGGAGATCCGGCCACCCTTATCTTCTCAGTTTGCTGCGATTACTAGTGCGTCCTGCTGCACTAGCTTTAAATGTCAGCTACTGGTTTATTTGAGAAAGACTGTCTCTCTGTAGCCCAGGCTGGCCTATTTTACAGTGTAGCAAAGGCTGGTCTTGAATCATAACAGTATTCCTGCCTCAGCCTTCTGAGTGCTGGAATTGCAGGCGTGCATGGCCATGCTCAGCTTCAGTTGTCAATTTTTTAAATTTTTTAAAAGTTTTATTTACTTATTTTAGTTTATCTGAGACAGGATCACACTATGTAGCTTTGGCTGGCCTGGAACTTGCATGTAGACCAGACTGGACTTGAAAACATAGATATACCTGCCTCTGCCTCCTGGAGCCAGGAGGCAATGAGCTGGAACTGAAGCTCTAAGAGGGGAGCAAGAGCTCTTAACTGCTCGGGTCTCCTTATCAGATAAGAGCCCCTTATTTTTCTTTTTTGCATTTATTGTGCTTGTGTGTGTGCATATACTATACATGGCATGGGGCTGGAGAGATGGCTCAGAGGTTAAGAGCATTGCCTGCTTTTCCAAAGGTCCTGAGTTCAATTCCCAGCAACTACATAGTGGCTCACAACCATCTGTAATGGGGTCTGGTGCCCTCTCCTGGCCTTCAGGCATACACACAGACAGAATATTGTGTACATGATAGATAAATGAATAAATATTTAAAAAATTATACATGGCATGGCACCTTGTGGAGGTCAGATGACAACTTGGGGCCCAGAGATGGGACTCAGGTTCTCACCCTTGGCAGCGGGTGCCTGTTTTTGTTCCACTGACCATCTCGGCAGTTCCTTGTTTTTATTTACATTTATTTTTGACTTTATGTGTCTGGGTGTTTTGCCTCCATCTGTGTATCTGCACTACGTGTGTGCAGTGTCTGAAGAGGGTAGAACCACTGTGTGGGTTCTGGGATTGAACCGTGTCCTGGGGGCTCTTAGCCACTGAGCCATCGCTGAGGTAGCTTTTGAGACAAAGCCTTTTTTTTTTTTAAAGATTTATTTATTTATTATGTATACAGCATTCTGTCTGGATGTGTGCCTGCAGGCCAGAAGAGGGAGCCAGATCTCATTATAGATGGTTGTGAGCCATCATGTGGTTGAACTCAGGACCTCTGGAAGAGCAGCCTGTACTCTTAACTGCTGAGCCATCTCTCCAGCCCTACAAAGCCTTCTTTTCTTTATCAGTCTCAAATGCCCATCTTTCTCGTTCTCTCTCTCCTTTTTAATGAAATAACACTTCTCATCACTGAAGTGGGTTAGTTTTAGTCCTGCTGGTGAATTCAAAGTTAGCCTTAGCTACATAGTGAGCTGCAAGCCAGCCTGAGCTATTGAATAAGACATTGTTTCACAAAGTCAAAGGTTGAGGGTGTAGGTCAATGTGCAACTTCCAATAACACAAAATTAACTTTAACAAATCCAAGCTCTTGGGTGGGTGGGATTCTTTCTTATGACCCATAACTATGGTGGCCCAGTGCGTCCCATGTCCACTCTCAGGGTGTTTAGAATACTGGAGCCTGGAATTCCTTCTCTGGGAAAGGTGTCTTTGTGGATATGTAAACTTATAAAATGGACATAGGTAGTCCCAAGCCTCTTCAGCCATTGAGGGAAGGAGACTCAGGCAGTTTTCTTGACAGTTACCTCTGTAAATGGCTACCCTCAGCCACTGGGTGTTGCCTTTCTGCTAATTGAACTTTCCAGGTAAGTTTGCCTTCAGAGTGGGAATGAGTGTGGGGTGGGTGTTGGCCTTGCAATGCCATGGCTGCATCTGAAAGGCGGAGACTTGGCTAGCCTGGCTTCTTCGCCTGGCTTCCGGTGTCTCTGGAGAAGGTCTCCTGCAGATTATTTTCACTTGTCTTTTGGGTATGTTCTAAGGTCAGGGTAGTCCACTGCTACAAACAGGTTGGAGTTTGTTGGCAGCACTCTAACTCTGGTGGGCCGTTGTCTCTACAGTGAACACAGAAAGTGAGACGGCAGTGGTCAACGTCACCTACTCCAACCGGGAGCAGACCAGGCAGTGAGTACCTCTGCAGTGGAACTGGGGGTCTCTGAGGGGTGTTGGAGTTGGGTCTTCTACTCAGACCCCCATGGATAGGTCTAGGTGGGCTGGAATCCTTAGCTGGCTTCTGATGCCGGTTTAGCTGACCCTCAAAATCAACTTGAGGGAGGGGGTGACTAGGGAGAAGGTTGTCTCTGGGCACCCAGGATTGCAGAGTCCTGTATGTGTCGCTAGTGCCATCTTTTGGTTATGGGGGGAACTGCCTCGTTCAAAAAAGGTAGAAGGATTGAAGGTGTTTATTTTTTGATAATGATCTCCAGTTCACTTATTACATAGCCAAGGGCTATCCTGGTCTGGTTTTCCTACCCCCTATTTCCTGAACATTGGGATTATAGGTGTGGGTTCCTGCTTCTGGATCAAGTCTGTGGTGCAGGGTGGTTAGGAGCCCAGCTAACATCCCCTCCCAAGAGTCCTCATCACCACCGCCATGATTTCCAGCCCCTCTAGGATCAGCATTTACGGTTCTCACTCCCTGGAGTGGACAGACCACATGCTGTATAATAGCTCTGATTGGCACAGGGGTTTCCCCCATTTTGTTAATTTATTTTCTTGTCTCAACCCTGTCCAGTGGTCTTAAATGGAAAAGCTTGAGTGAAGCCTTGCTGTATTGATGACTTTCCCTTAGTATCTTCTCTCTTGTAGACTGGAAGGTTGCCTAGAGACGGTGCGGTGGCAGACAGGGTTATCTCCCCCATCTTCAGTGTGGTCCCCAGTCTATCACAGCTGTAGTTTCTTTGTGGAAGGAAGCACTGGATGTGATTGCCATGGTTGGAGTGACCACTGAACTTCCTCTCTGTCCCCAGAGCCATTATGAAACTAAACGGCCATCAACTGGAGAACCATGCCTTGAAAGTCTCATACATACCCGATGAGCAGATAGCACAGGGTCCTGAGAATGGGCGCCGTGGAGGCTTTGGGTCTCGGGGCCAGCCCCGGCAAGGATCACCTGTGGCCGCAGGCGCTCCGGCCAAGCAGCAGCAAGTAGACATCCCTCTCCGACTCTTGGTGCCTACGCAGTACGTAGGCGCTATCATTGGCAAGGAGGGCGCCACCATCCGCAACATTACAAAACAGACTCAGTCCAAGTGAGTACTGGGAAGGCCCTGGAAAGCAGCTGATTGGAACATCAGCATCTCTCTCCTGGGAATTGTTGCTTGGGACATGAGTGGTCCCTGTTGACAGTATTACCTCTCTGGAGGTTGGGCGAACAAGAAGGAATGGGCCCATACACTTTCAACAACAGAAAGAGTTCCATAATGCCTCATAGCAGGATGTTGCTCCAGGAAATCCAGTCCTGTGAGTTGAGTCCCTCAGTCCTCAGGCATCCTTGATGGTGACCACAGCTTGGCTAAAGTCTCAGCCCTTTGGGATATGTCATAATTATCTTCTGTCTTACACTGTAGTGCGGTCACCTGCTCCCCTTACCTTTGTTGACGATTGGTGCTTATGAGAACGAACAGCTCAGGTTGTGTCCGTATTCATGGAAAAATCACTCATTTACTTGTAGTTGGGCAGTGTGTCTCCCTGATGCAGTGTTTGAAAGGACACTAGGAGGGGAAAAGAACTTCACTATCACACATACCTGTGGGAGTGTTCGCACAAAACAGCTGTGAGGTAGACTGCATTGTCCTTTCCAGTCACCTGAAGGAGGCAGGCAGAACAACACCTGGCCATGATTTCCTGGCTCCATCTTTATTTTCCTGGTTCTGTACTTGACAGGCACCATTCAAGGAAAGTGAATTCCTCTTTTTTTTTTTTTTTTTTTTTTGGTTTTTTTTTTTGGTTTTTTGAGATAGGGTTTGGAACCTGTCCTGGAACCAGCTATTGCAGATCAGGCTGGCCTTGGCCTCGAACTCACAGAGATTGCCTGTCTCTGTCTCCCAGATTCTGGGATTAAAGGCATGCACCACCACTGCACTGCCCAGCTGAAAGTGGATTCTCTATGTCTTCGATTGAGAAGAGATGAGGAGTCGGTGTGATTAGAGACAAACTAACCAGCTCTTTCCTTTTGTGGTCCTCAGGATAGACGTGCATAGGAAGGAGAACGCAGGGGCTGCCGAGAAGGCCATCAGTGTGCACTCAACTCCTGAAGGCTGCTCCTCTGCCTGTAAGATGATCCTGGAGATAATGCACAAGGAGGCAAAGGACACCAAAACGTAAGATCCAAGCCCCAGGCTTCACACGTGCCAGGCAGACGCTTGGCTGCTGAGCCACACCCCAGCCTTTATTTGTAATTGTTAATAGCCATACAGAGTCACAAACTCTACAAAAGCTAGAGATAAGATCTTCTCCTTGAATAATCATCTAGAAATTTTATGTGCTCAGTGTTTCTATTTATGTTCATAACAGTCATCTTCACACATTCTCTGTCTCTGCCGCTTTCTCTCTCACGCTCCCTGCCCCTTAAAAGAGAGAATATGGTCTTCCACAGTCCAGCTTTGGAATTTGTGGTCTTGTTAATAATAGTTGTGCATCAATCACCACAATATTTCCGTTGTTTGGGCTTTTTTTGTTTTTGTTACTTTTCAAGATAGGGTTGTTCTTAAGATAGGGTTTCTTGTCCTGGAACTCACTCTGTAGACCAGACATCCTACCTCTGCCTCCCAAGTGCTAGGATTAAAGGTTTGCTTTTCTTCCTTTTTTTTAAGACAATAGTTTCTAGCGCTAGAATTTAGTCTGTAGACTAGGCTAGCCTCAAACTCAGATATATGCCTGCCTCTGTCTTCTGAGTTCTGAATTAAAGGGATTTGCCACCCCATCCAACTCTGTTATTTTCTTGATACAGCTTTATTGGATTCAATTAGTATAATAATGTTTGTTTATAGACATGTTGCCTAGGTTAGCCTAGAATTCCCTGGGCTCAATGGATCCTCTAGCCTCATCTCGAGTGGCTGGGACTGTAGGCACATGCCACCATATCTGGCTTAATTGTGTGTTGTTTCCCCTTCCTTGCTGCTCCCTCAGCCCCCTTTACCTTGAGGGTGGACAGCTCAGCTAAATTACTGAGCTAAACTCTCAAACCCTATTGCACTTGTTTTCCTGTGTACAGTTTGGCGATTTCTCAGGTGTACAGTTTGAGTTTCGATTTGTGTATGTCAGTACCTGTTGAAACCATGATCACAGTTAAGATAAATAAAGCTGTCGGGCGGTGGTGGCGCACGCCTTTAATCCCAGCACTTGGGAGGCAGAGGCAGGCAGATCTCTGTGAGTTCGAGACCAGCCTGGTCTACAGAGCCTAGTTCCAGGACAGGCTCCAAAACCACAGAGAAACCCTGTCTCGAAAAACCAAAAAAAAAAAAAAAAAAAAAAAAGGATAAATAAAGCTTTGGCTACCAAACTTCATCCTGCCTTCCACACACAGTCCATCCTTACTGACCATTTCTCTGTTTGTAGAACATTGATCTACTGGGTTTTGTAGTCTTCTGACACTTGATTGGTGGGTCTTCCTGGGTTTGTCAGTTGAGAGTGACCCGATCATGTTTGAATCTTCGTTGACGTTATTCACTGGTCTGTCACCCATTTTCTCCCCAGGGCAGATGAGGTTCCCCTGAAGATCCTGGCCCATAATAACTTTGTGGGGCGACTCATTGGCAAGGAAGGCAGGAACTTGAAGAAGGTGGAGCAAGACACAGAAACAAAGATCACCATCTCATCGTAAGGCTTTCACTGGTTCCCTTTTCAGAAGTGGTGAGCACAGGGCCTGGGGTACCAGAAAATTTCGTCACTGAGCCTTTTAAATTGGGCACTGCTTCTGCTGGCCTAAGGCAAATCGAAGATGGAATGGGATCCTTATCTACCTCTCAAGGGTTGGAGCACCCCTCCTCTTGGCACAGTCTACAGGAAAGCCTGCAGCTAGAGTGTGGGCTTTAGATATCTGCCACTGTGTGTGGTACACAAACCTTGGTCCTTTTTAGGGTGGGTGCGCTGGTCTTTCTCTGGAGAACCAGTGAAAGGCACGGGCTAGCTATTTGTAAGCACCCTGCCTCTCCATCCTTTAGAGACTGACTTATCTGTAGGGCACCTTTTCTGCAGAAGAGCACCAGGGGCCACCTGCAGCCATCCTGCGTGTCTGGGGACCGCACTTGCCACAGAAAGTTTTGTTCTTGGTTGTCCAGTCCTTGCCCCGGCTACCTGAGGCTGGAGATAAGCTGGATGACCTTTAGGAGTGCTGGCCCTGCAACTCAGCTGCTCCAAGCCCTGCATTGCCCACTGCTTAACATTGCCCTGCTCCTCTGCCAGGCTCCAGGATCTCACCCTGTATAACCCTGAGAGGACCATCACTGTGAAGGGGGCCATTGAGAACTGCTGCAGGGCTGAGCAAGAGATCATGAAGAAAGTTCGAGAGGCCTACGAGAACGATGTAGCGGCCATGAGTGTGAGTGAGAGGGGCCACCTTCCTGTCTTTGTTGCTGGGAGTTGAATGTCAGCCCAGGAGATGGGCAAAAGCCTTACCTCCAAACTACATCCCTGTCCCCTCTTCAGTCCCTTCTCTGAACTCAGCAAGGGCAGCAGCACTTTCTTATGCCTGTTTTCCCTACACGTATGTCAGGACACCATGTGCATCCCAGGTGCCCACCAAGGCCAGAAGAGGATATCAGATTCCCTGGTGAAGAGGAATTACAAATGGTTGTGAGCCACCATGTGGATGCTTGGAATTGAACCTGGGTCATTTGGGAGAGTAGCCAGTGCCTTTAGCCACTGGGGCACCTTTCCAGCCCCTCAGTTTGTGCTGTTAGACTTACTCACACACATCTCTTTTGGTGGCAGTGGTGCTGCTGGAGATCAAGTCTTGTACATTGTAGGTAGACATTTTGCTGCCAGAAGAGGGTAGCTGTATTTACTCAACAGGGCTCTTCATCTACCTCCTGCAGTGGGGTTGAAGGCATAATCTTAGGTTTCATGAATTTCTATACCTTAGCCAATCTGATCTAGATACTGTGATCCTTTTCCAGTAAAAGTTGTGTACCGTAGTAGACAGAAGGGTCATAATTTCAACCTTTTTTTCCCCCTTGAGACAGGACCTAACTATGTAGGCTAGAACTGAATTCATTTCTCTTACCTTGACCTACCAAATGCTGAGTTTACTGGCATGTACCACCACACCCAGCTCATAGGATTTTTATTTTTTTTTATTTTGTTTTATTGTGTGTGGGTGTGTATGTGTGCCCAGAGGAGGAAACCAGGTGTTCTGCTCTATGGCTCGTCCCTTCGTTCTGTTCACACACTGTCATTTACAAACCTGGAATTAACTGACATCAAGAGCCAGCAGTTCTGTCTCTGTCCCCCAAACCCCACTGGGCTAGCTACAGATAGGATCATTTCCATGGGTGCTGGGATTCCCTCTCTGTCCTCGGTGCTCTTATGCATGAGCCATCTCCCTGTCCCTGTGATCTGATTTTGTCATCATCTCGTCCTGCTTCAGACACGGTCTAAGTGTGTAGCCCAGGCTGGCTTGGGACTTGATAAGAGAGCTAGCCTCTAACTCGCAGAGATACATGCCTGTCTCCCAAGGCTGGGATTTTATTTTCACCATGCCCAGTTCCATCTTGGTCTTTTAAAGGAAACTGGGGATGGTATACTTAGCAGAAAGGCTCAGAACTACTTGGGCCTCAGGAATCAAAGGGAGAGTTGTCCCAGGTTCTCGTGGAGGGGCATCACATTCTCAGGTGTAAGCCTTTTTTGTTTCCATTAATGTGGCAGAAATGACTAGGGAGCCTGCTGGTTGTCTTCCTGCTTCAACATTCCAGTTTGGTCCAGCGAGGATATCTCCATGGCTCAAGAGAAACCATAGTGCCGGGCAGGTTTTTGTACAAAAGCAAATAACTCCAATGGGGAGCTGATTTGCTCTGGTCATGCTGGCTCTTGTAAGTTAGCAGGAGCCACTACCAAGGCCCAGCAGGCCCCTCAGGAAGCTGACCTCATAGAACAGGCGTACTTGGAATAAGGTCATATAGCCCGCATGATGAGCTGTGGATACGCTGACCTGTGCCTCCCCTCTCTCCAGTTGCAGTCCCACCTCATCCCTGGTCTGAACCTGGCTGCTGTAGGTCTCTTCCCAGCCTCGTCCAGTGCCGTCCCACCACCTCCCAGCAGCGTCACCGGGGCTGCTCCCTATAGCTCCTTCATGGTAGGTGAAAGGATTTATTGCCAGGGACCCATGGGAGTGTGGGGGTTTGGAACATGGACAAGATGACCTTTGTAGCCAGTATAAGAGCCAGAAGAAAAGGAGTCCAGCCAAGTGGTGACAGTAGCTTTCCGCTTGATTTTTTTTTTTTTTTGCTTCCCCTTAGCTGGAAGAGAGCTAAAAAGAGTTCATGCTATTTTTCTGTGGCCCAGGGTGCAGCTGGGTACCCACTGTGGAGGGTGGAGGGACTCCTGGGTCCTGCCTCGCTCCACTCCCTGGTCCTTTGGTAAGGATTCCTCTGTCCTGGCAGCAGGCTCCCGAGCAGGAGATGGTACAGGTGTTCATCCCCGCCCAGGCTGTGGGTGCCATCATCGGCAAGAAGGGACAGCACATCAAACAGCTCTCGCGGTTCGCCAGTGCCTCTATCAAGGTGATTTGCTCTGAGTTCTTACGAGACTAGTATGGACTCCAGCTCCCTTCACACTTTGGGGGAATGAAAGCCCAGTCCCTTGTGGGTGTCTTCAGTACTTGAGGTTTGCAGGCTACATGAGAAATGGTATTACATAGACAGAAGGCTGAAATTGCCACAAAGTAGAATGAACCCCATCCCAGACATATTCAAAACCAATCTCCCCACCCCTGCTAGACTCCAGCGGGTCTCGGTTTCCTGGTATGGGTTGTAGGAAGCAGGTTGTCCTGTCTGTGCTGGTTGTCCTGCCTCCCTGCATCCAGGATCCAGGAGAGCGAGGGGATTCTCATCAGGAAACCAGTGCTCAAAATCTCATACATCCAGACTCATGGGTTTCATTAAATAGCATTTAAAGCTTTGCGTTTCCTAAAAGAGGTGTAATCACTACCTTCTCCTACCTAGTCATCACATGACTCTCTGCCTCTTGGCAGCGCTCTGCTAAGAGCCTCAGAGGGGCTGCTGGCTGAGAAGTCCTACTGAGGAAGCATCTCTGAGGCAGGTCCTTCTGGCTTTCTGCCCTTGCTGTCTCCTCCCCCTCTCAGAATGGGCAATGGGAGGGAGCTAGAGGAGGTAGGGATGCCTTCCTATGGAAGCACCCCCATCTGACCAACTGTGTGTTTTATAGATAGCTCCACCGGAAACACCTGACTCCAAAGTCCGAATGGTTATCATCACTGGACCCCCAGAGGCTCAATTCAAGGTTTGATTTATATTTTCCAGGATGGATACAGAGTAACTAAGGTTGGGAACTTAACACGTGCAGGAAAAATCCTGGGGCTGTCATGGCTTCTAGTCTTTTCTGCAGGATAGACAGCTGCAAAGCTGCTTTCAAAGCGCTATAAAGCTTAATAGCTGTTCATATCCACTTCCTTCCTCGTTTCCACATGCCCACTCAGGAATGCGAGAAAGAAGGGAATCTGGGGTGTTGGCATTTGATGGCAGCTCCCCGGCTTCTTTATGTCTGTGCTGTTCCTGCTTCACTTGATCTCTGAGGCGTGAGGCAGGGTACTTTCTAGGGTACCCAGAGTCAGTTCTTGCCATTCACGGTTGTGATGCGTTAGTTATTGCCACATCTCAAGTCGTCCCAGAACCTGTGTTTATTCGTATCTCGTTTAGGAGGGAGGTGGGAAGAGGTTAGGGCAGGGTCTCCATATGGAACTCTAACTGGCCCAGAACCAGATCTGCAGACCAGATCCTCATGCCTGTGCAGTGCTGGGATATTTGTTCATTTACTCATGGGTCATAATCTGAAGCTCTCCAGCATTACAGGTCATCAGGGAACCATTGTAACCACCTGCTTTATAGCTGGTTGGTCCTCCTAGGTAGAGTTCTGGCCACTTGGGTGGGAAAGGCTTGACTGGAGCCTAGGGCCTTTCACCCAGATACATGACTGCTTTTAACCATGGCCTCCTCCCTAGGCTCAGGGAAGAATCTATGGCAAACTAAAAGAAGAGAATTTCTTTGGTCCCAAGGAGGAGGTAAAGCTGGAGACCCACATACGCGTGCCAGCTTCAGCAGCTGGCCGGGTCATCGGCAAAGGCGGCAAAACGGTAAGCTCCGAGGGCTGAAGGCTCTAGGCTTGGCCTCTACAGCCCACCCTTTGTTCTAGTCTTCTCACTTTTACCCTTATTTGTCCATTGACTTGATTCTACTTCCAGGCCAGTGCCCTTCACCTCTCTCACCACCCTCCAGTCCCACCGTGGTTTTTTCCCCCCCTTTGGTGCTACATCTTGAACTCAGGACCTTGTGTACGCTAATCAAAGCATTCTCCCACTGAGTTGCCTTCCGCCCCTATACATTTCATTGCTGGTGCTCTGAGCTCCTCTGGCTGTCCCACCCCTAGGTGAATGAGCTGCAGAACCTGACTGCTGCCGAAGTGGTAGTGCCAAGAGACCAGACCCCGGATGAGAATGACCATGTCATTGTTAAGATCATTGGGCATTTCTATGCCAGCCAGGTATGTACCATGCTCCTCTGCCTCCAGAGGACTCAGGAGCCAGGAGCACAGAGAGGGCTCTCCAGGTCGATCTGTGTGACTTGCACAGGTCCTCGGCCTGCTCAGCGCTGGGCTGGGCTGGGCTGGGCTGGTTCAGGTTGAGGAGTGGATGTGAGACTTTTCCTCTTTCACTCTTCAGTGGCTCCATGGGTAAAAGCTCTTATCACCAAGCATACCCCCGAGTGCAGTCTCTGGGACCCTCGTCACGGTCGCAGAGAACCAACTCCTGAAGATTGTCCTCTGAATTAAATGTGCAAATACACACAATTCAAAAGTTTAAAAAATTAAGTTATTAGTTTCCAAGTCTATTATGTACGATATATAATGATTGTATTTATTAAGTATTCATACATACATGTCCCTGTACCTGGCTTTGCGTTATTTGTAACCCTTGCCCCTTTCCCACAAGTCACAGTGGTGGCTCTGAAGCCAGGGAGGCAGCGCCCATCTCAGGTTCAAATTTGGTTGATCCTAAGCAAGGGGAGGAAAGGGATTGACAAAGGGGCTCTCTCTTTTGGGGGGAGGGTTGGTTTTTGTTTTTCAAGTTTCTCTATGTGGCCCTAGATGTCCTGGAACATAGCTCTGTAGACCAGGTTGGCCTCGAACTCACAGAAATTTGCTTGCCTCTTGCCTCCCAAGTGCTGGGATTAAAGGCCTGTGCCACCACTGCTTGGCGACAAAGGGCTTAAACCCTCAACCATCAGCCCAGTGTTGCATCTTTATCAGTGAGCTATGGCCCTAGGGACTGATTGTGTGGTTTGGAGACTCAGGCTTTCAGCCGACTCCATAGCACACCCTCTGTGCTGTGCTCCCTGGTGTTGGTAGCTTTCTACTAAGATCTTTGAGAAGCAGTGAGAACCATGGGAATGATAACTAAGATTTTTGCTGGGCCCAGCATTGTCTCACAAGCTTTGTGTCTAGTAAATCGTTCAAGCCCCACAAGAACCCATTATTCAGATGAGGGAAATAAGGCCGTAAGAATGGGAGTAGATCTCGGCTCCCCGGTGCCAGGTGCATTGGCACTGCGTTTCAGCAAAAGAAGGCACTGGAAATCTACGTGAAACCACCAATGCCAATGAGCCCTCTCCCTTCCTCCTGCCCTTCCTCGGGTCTTTCCCATTTGCAAAGCCTCTCCTTGGAGGGCCTCATCCTCCCTCTTCTTGCCTGTTTTCAATGCAGATGGCTCAGCGGAAGATCCGAGACATCCTGGCTCAGGTTAAGCAACAGCACCAGAAGGGACAGAGCAACCAGGCCCAGGCACGGAGGAAGTGACCGACCACCCCTTCCTGTCCCGATGGCTCCAGATCAGCAGGCAGGACGCGGAACTGGAGTGTGGAGGGCCAGTGCGCTCTTCCCAGCAGGCCTGAGAATGAGTGGGAATCAGGGGCTTTGGGCCTGGCTGGAGATCAGGTTTGCCCACTGTCTTGAGAAAAATGTCCCAGTGAGGAATCCTGATCTCTCGCCCCCAGTTCAGCCAGGTGACCACCATGGTCCACCCCTTGGAGTGCCACCCTTGCAATTGTAGCTGGTGGCCACCAAGGCCTCCCCCCTTGTAGCTTGGGTTGCTTTTAAACGTGGATTGTTTGAGAAAGTTCTCCAGCCTCCATCAGGAAGATGGGTCGGCTCCCAGTGGGGAAGAGAAATAAAATTTCCTTCAGGTTTTATTAAACCTCAAAGGACGGTTTGTTTCTTGACCCCATAATCTTTCTAACCTGACTTCCTGGTTAATTGATGAAAATTTCTCCCACTCTCAATGTCTTGACCAATATCTTGCTGCTTCCCGTATTCATTTACACTGTCCCAGCCTTGCTACTATGGGGTGGGGTGGGGGCTGGAGCACAGCTTTGTTTACAATATTAATGCTGGAGAGCACCTGATCCTCAACCAACCAATGGGAACAGCAGGATAGAAAGGAGAGAGATAATGATTAAGATATTCTGATCCACGTTTAAAAGGAGTCCTTGGGCTAAGGATAGAGCCCAGTGGTCAGCATACTTGCCTGGCATGTTCAAGGCCCTGGTTTCCATCCTTGGCATCACAAAAAGAAAAACAGCACACCCTCGTGGGTGAGCTATTACAGATCGCCATCTAGAAAAATTGGCACAACAGAAATTTCCCCTGGTCAGCAGGGGCTTCCCCACAAGATTCCCCACTATGTTTATGCCCATCTAACCCTGTGGGTCCTGCATGGTGCCCTGGTACACATGGGTGGTGCTGTGTTCTCAGCAGGGTGTGGGCTAATCACTGTCCCTGATTCCTATCATTCTCAGGCGGATTTTATATTTTTTTTTTAAAGTCTATTTTAATGATTGGATATATGAGCTCTGGGAAAGGGGGTGTGTGCTCCCATTGATAGTGTCTCAGTTCCATGGAGGAGTTGAGTGGCCCAAAGGTGCTCTCGCTCTAACCCGTGTGCTCTTACAAGGGCTGAGGCAGGCATTGTGGTCCCTGCCACGGCACTGTTTCCTTGTGGCAGTGGGACTACAACCCAACCTTGAGCTCCTGATAAAGCTTAAAGTCCTTCATCTGGCAGACTTAGTCAATTGCAGAATATGCTTCTGTTTTTATTGTAGAGGAGTATTTGACTGACTGCTCACGTCTCCATGAATTGTCGATTGTTATTATGAAAGGCATGCCTGAGAACAAACTTCAGAATACCAGCAGCATTGTGCACAAAGGGGTGAACACACTTAATTTATTAATTTACCAGGCTCAATAAGATCCTGTTGGAAGTTTAGCCCTTATGGAGGACAGTGGCCATCGGTTAAGTGAGGCTAGGCCTCCCCTCCTAATACTGTACTGATTGTAACGCATATTTGCCAGGTGATGCACTTTAGCTACCCTGGACAAAACTATCAAGTGTGCTGGGAAGAAAGAAAGGCCTCTCTGCACTGGGAAAGCCCCTGCAGAGCCCCTCTCTTCCTGATAGGACAACAGTGACAAGCAACCGTGATGTGTGGGCGGAGTCAGGCAGTGCTGTGCTAAGTAAACTACCTCAAGGTGTGACGTTACCTCAGCAATGATTTCCTTTTGTTCCCCTAAACCCCGGTTTTTAATTTCCCTTTTTTTTTTCTTTTTGATTTTTTTTTCTTTGCGGCTTGCTGATATTTTATATAAAAAAAGAAAAAGCAAAAGAGAAGCTGATAGTCTTGAATATTTTATTTTTTTAATGAAAAGAAAAAATGAGAAAGTTATGTTTCATAATTTCTTACATGAGCCAGTAACTCTTTAGGAGCTCTCTGGAGAACAGGCCCTGTGGGGAAAGGTGGGTACTGGGGGCTGGAACCAGGGGAGGAGTGGATAACCCCAAAGGGGTCCAGGGCCTTGAAGTAGGAGATAAAATCTAGCAGAGCTTGGACCCTTGGGGACCAAACAGCAGTCAGTGCCCACTAACCAGATGGCCTGTGGGCACCCCTCCCTCTCCTCCTGTGGTGAAACAGGGTCTCAGCTGGGTTTTCCCACCAGTGGTGCTGTTATTTTAAGATATTGCCTCCGTTTTATCGAGGAGAGAAAGAATAACTAAAAAATATAACTTTTTAAGAAAACCTGTATTTCTTAAAACATATGGGAGCCAAGATTCCGCTTATGGGAGAAAGACAAGGCCAGCCTCCCCCCCTCGAGGGACCGTCCTGGTTTCTCCGTGCAGCGCTTTCCGTATTTATTTTTTGGTTATTGTTTCATTTCCATCCCACCTTGCTGTTCTTATTCTGTGTCATTCATAGACTGCGAGGCAAGCAGGTCGACCAGGACTGCTCTCCCCCACCTCCTTGTCTCCTTAGCTTGGTTTGGTTGGGCCTGTTAGGTAGAAATTCTCGATTTAGGATGGTGGGCAGCCAAGAGGGGAGGGAAGATGATGAACATGACTGGGACAGACAGGGTTTTGCTTTGGTACGATCTTACCACATGGCCCCTGTGACAGCCCCTCCTAGCCCTCGAACCATCTAATCCAAAGAGGAGAAGCAGGAAAGTCTTTTGGATGGTAACAGGCCTGTCCCAGACACAAAGGGTCTCCCAACTTCCCGTCTGGCTCTACATGCTTCGTCTCCAAACGAAGCAAACAATGTTCAGACATCGGCCGTTTAGTGATTTAAAGTGGATTTCTTGCAGCAAGCATGCTTTGATACCAGCTCAAATGATCATGGGTGGAGGGGGGGATCCCACAGTATCTGAAATGAGATTGTTGGGGTGTTCCATTCCTTGGGGGCCTGCTCCCTTCACACTTTTTCAGCCCGAGTCCTCTTCCTTTGACTGACGGAGCCCCCAGAAGAGATCAGAAAGTATGGCAGGGACCTGAAAACTTACATGGATTGGGCAAAGTTCCCCTTGTGGCCGGACTTGTCCAGCAGGAAGATTGTGAAATTTGGCTTACTAGAAAGATTGATTTGGGGTCAGAGGTCAGCGGAAAGGAGAAGCCTGGTCTGTCTAGGGTTGTCGTGTGACCCAAGGGCCAGATCTTAGCCCTTTTGCCTTGCTCATCACCTCGTTCCCCCCATCCTAGGTAAGAAAGCAATCATTACAATAAGCACGTGGGAGATTTGGATGGTATTGAGAAAAGCAACTTAAAACAAATGCTCCCATGCCCTAAGGTGTGTATAGAGAGGTGTATGGATGTGCTACACGTGTGTTTTTATGAAACGACCATCTCTTTAGGATTTTTTTCTTTTCAATTCTTTGAAACACATAAAAAGCCAAATGGTTTGATTCACTGACTTTAGAACTGTGCCTGCCGCTCACAGCGTGGGGGCTTACACCACCTTTGGGGTCTGGTTGCCTTTGCAGCCGAGTTCTAGACTCAGTGTTGAAGGGGACCAAGACAGGAGAGAGCCTAGTTGAGGACAGGGCAGTTATGTGGCCTTGGCTCCTCTCTAGTCCTTTCTGTTTTCCATTTTCTCCCCGAGCTCCCCACTCTTGGGGAAAACTCAAGCCTCACTGTTGGCTGGAGAGACCCCATGTAAAACCCAGAGGACACTGGAGTAGGATGCTCCGGTTGGTTCTGTATGTCCGTTTTCCTTTGTGCCAAAGACAGACAGACAGACAGACAGACAGACAGAGGCTGAGAGACTGTTTCCGAGACAAAAGCAGTGGCCGGCCATCTTTCTACATCTCCTAGGCCTGTTTGCAAGGGGGAGGGGCCTGGAGACAGTGTACACTAAAGACAAGGACCCACTCTTCTTAAGCTCCTGGGGGATTTGGGAGTGGTGCTTGCCAAGGGCTAGGGAGCAGGAAAAAAGGGGTCCTTTGACTCCCTGTTGCACTTTGGGGAAGGAGGGACTATTTCCGGCTCCTCGTGGGACTGCTTTCCCCTGTCCCCACTGCAGAGATGGCACCATGGAATTCCCTTCAGGCCTGGCAGACTGGCAGTGAGGAGGGGCCTCAGTTAGCTCTCAAGGGTGCCTTCCCCTCCTCCCTTTCCAGACACCCTCTGCCAAACTGGGAACCATCAGTGCTACTAACTACCTCAGCCCCAGAGGGCGCCAAGCCTAACTGAGCCCCAGGTGGAGCTGGCTGGTGCCTTTAGGCAACTCTACTCCCCCTCTCTTGGGGCGAGGTCTCCTTTCCTTTCCCTGTTTGTGGGGGAGAGCCTAGTGGCTTTGCCATTCTAACCACACAACTGTTTTGCCTGTTTGTTGAAAGCCCAATAGAAGGAAAACAGCTCTGCCTGACAGGACATTGTAGGAAGGTTGAAGAGAATCCTCAACGCCAGGGGATAGAAAAGCCATTTTCCTTCCAGATACTCGATGGTCTAGGTGCAGCATGTTTCTCTCGTATTCAGAAGGAGAGTAAAACCAGCCGAAACTCCCTGTTTCTTTCCTTTGGTTACATCTCGGTGAGGGTACAGGATATGGGAGAGGCCACGCGCCCAAGGGGTCTGGTGGATAGGTCAGAGCCTTAGCCCTGCATGTTCTGCGGGCACCATTGCTGATGGCCTCAGATGGTTGGATCTGGACTGACAGAAGAAGAGCGTTGGTTCTTCTGAAATAGCAGGAAGCTCCTGGAGCCCGTGTGTTTTCGTAATCACAGATGATGAATGATGAGTATGAATGGATGAACTACTACCTCAGTCCTTACAGTGAGATTGGAAATAAGGGCAGGGACTCATGCATGAGGGTATGAATCCCAGCCAGAAGAGAGTTGAAGCTTATGCCACAAAAGGTTTGTCTTGGGGATCGGGCAGGCCTGCCAGGGTCCCCACTCATATCGGTCGGGTTGGCAGGGTTCGTCATCTCGTCCCGTACCCCCCTTTTCTGCTTTCCTTGCCCATGCTCCCACCCCTTTCGCTCCAGCTTGTCCTTCCCGCGCTTGCCTTAGCTTGGGTGGACAAGCCAGTGAGGAAAGGAATGGGATCTTCCCTTAGAGAGCTGGCTGCAGGTGAGTTCTGGGTCTGGCCTGGACTCCCTCGCTCGGTTCCTGTGTTCGGAAGTCCCAGACCCAGGGCCTCTACTCCAGGGTTTCTTGAGTGTCCTCTACCTCCCCTGAGCTCTTCTCCGTGTGGGGCAGTTGGCTCTGGGGGAGAAGAGATGGACATGATCCTTTGCCCTGGGGCCCAGCCCAGTCTATCAGGCTTGCTCAGGCCATCTTTGTAGTTGGGGATGCCACTGGGTGACCTAGCCCTCACTACCCTCTAAAGGACCTTCTAGAAGCCCCGTTTCACTTTTGTTTTTATCTACCTCTTAGCGAAACAGCATAGAGAAATTAGGTAGTGGCGACTCAACTTGCTTAGCTTAGGGGGGAAAGGTTTCTTTTTCCAGAGCAAAAAAATATTACCTTAAAAATACTTTCCAAAAAATATTTTAAAAAATTAAAAACCAAAACAAAATTATTTTAACAAAGGGAGACGATATCCAGTAACCAATGGATTAGTTGCCTAAACAGCCCCCCCCCCCTACATACATACGTGTCACTTTCTGCCACCTTCACTGAAGATGATGAGATAGCGTTCCTAGTGTGCTCCTTGGCTATCATATCCCACCCCATGGCTGCCAGTGAGACCCATCTGTGCTTCTTTCTGGTCATTAACTCTCCCAGCCAGGTGACTTAGACACTGGGTTGGGGAGACATGGTCCTGACTCAGTGTTCCCTCTTGGCAGGTGCCTAGGGACCACTGGTGACATTAATTACAGTTTTATGTGAGCTCATTCGAATGAATTTAAGCAGATTATAAATTATCATAATAAATATCTTCTATAACCATTTGGAGTCTCCCTTCAGAATCTTGATTCTGGTCACGCAAACTGGAGTTAAGTCAAAAGAGCCTGCTCCCCTAAGGCAGAATGGATTGATTGACAGGCAGTCCTGAGACAGGCTTCCCGTGAGGACTTGATGCTTCTGGGTGGGAATCTGGGAGGGGTTGGACGGCTGCTGCTTGTGACTGTTGTATTCGATAATCACAACTTTGAAAACTGTACTTTACGGGAACTCTGCCAGTGTCGCATCCCTGAATTTGATTGTGCCCTCCTCCTATCCTTTTCTTGAAGCTGGGGGAGGTGGGCAGCTGGCTCGGACTTGGCAAGTTTGTTGTTTCAATGAGTGAGCGCTCCGGGTTCCCGGTGAATGTTGTTTCAGCCACAAAGCAATTTCATTCCATTGTTTCAATCTCAAAATAAAAGAAAACTTCTATTGATAACCGACTGTGTTTGTTCCTGGGAAGGGTTTTGGAGTCTGGGGGGCACCTCATGTGCCCGGAATGAGAGAGAGCATCCTTGGGTATGCCTGAGGTTGGTCCGTGGGGATTGCCTAGAGAGCAATAGCCCACAATTGTTGGTGTGGCCAGAAGAAATTAAAGGCAGGAGGAAGCTCAGAGCCCAGGTTGCCTCTGCTCCCTTACTACCATGAGGGACTGCTGTGCTCTGCCATGCCCTGGCACTGATGACCCGAAACAGTGGGTCAAAATAGTTGTACTTTATTTTTTAAAAAAAAGTCCTAAGCTTACAAATGAACTCCCAGGTCTGTAGGGCAGAGAGTTATCACCCGAGATACTGGCAAGAAAGGCCTAACAGAGTGTTTCTCATCCTAACAATGGTTCTTATCCTCTGGGTTGAGACCTCCTGTGGGGGGGTTGAGCTATATTTTCACAGGGGTTACCTAAAACCAACAGAAAACATTTTTTTCTGTTACAGTAGCAAAATTGCAGTTTTGCAGTAGCAATGAAAAGATTTTATGGTTGGGGGGTGACCACAACATGAGGAGCTGGATTTAAGAGTCAGCACTAGGAAGGTTGGGAACCATGGGCTTAACAGCACAGAAAAATCTTCCCCTGACCCCAAGTAGGCCACATTTCAAGACGTGAATAAGCATTCCAAGTAAGGTTGCTAGTGGTGCACACCTTTAGTCCCAGCACTCAGGAGGCAGAGGCAGGTGGATCTCAGTGAGTTCGAGAACAGCCTGCTCTGTTGAGTTCCAGGACAGCCAGTGCTACACAGAGAAACAATTTCAAAAAAAACAAACAAACAAAAAAAAAAACTAGCAGTTTGTCCTTTAGGAGCTATATGGTTCCCTGCCTTTGAGGAGCTTAGACTCTTGTAGGAGGGCCAGCTATGAAAGCCATTGACTATCCCTAGGTGCCAGTGGAGAGCTGTTCAGAGTAACCACTTGGAGCACATGGGTTAGAAAAACTGGGAGTGGGCAAAAGGATACTGAGGTAGGAAGAAAGGCTTCTGTCTGGTGAGCAGGGCTGGGCAGGAGGGAATAAATACCCATGTTGAATGGAAAGTACATAGGACCAGAGAGGGGGCGACTGTGGAGGGGAATTGTGGCCGAGGAGGTGCTGTGGATAACAGTCTTTGTACACTGTAGATTGTACACTGTATTGCTCTCATTGTTAGTAAAAAGCTGATTGGCTGTGCTGGGCGGTGGTGGCGTACACCTTTAATCCCAGCACTTGGGAGACAGGCAGGCAGATTTCTGTGAGTTCAAGGCCAGCCTAGTCTACAAGAGCTAGTTCCAGGACAGGCTCCAAAGCTACAGAGAAACCCTGTCTTGAAACGCTTCCCTGCCCCCCTCCAAAAACAAAGACCCAAAAAGGCTGATTGGCCTATGGCTAGGCAGGATTTGGGGGGCAGAGAAAATGCTGGGTAGGATGATGGAGTTAGAGGTGTCACCAATGAGACAAGGAGAGGAAACAGGAAGTGCAAGATGAAGAGAGGTAATGCCACATGGCAGAATGTAGATTAATATAAACAGGCTTGTTTAAGTTGGAAGAGCTAATTAGTAATATGCCTGAGCTATCAGCCGAGCCTTTAGAATTAAGTTTTTATACGGTTATTTGGGAGCAGCTTCTGAGACACAGAGAAACTGCCTACTAGGAAGATTCTAGAAGGCCTTGCAATCTAGGCTGTTGGGTCTTCCTGAAATACTGGTAGGTGGTTGGTACTAGAGTTGGGTTCATAAAGAGGCTGTGGCATCTAGAGGGTTAACAGGAGTCAATGGAGACCTGAATAGGGAAGACAGTGTCAGTGGGATTTTCAGAGACAGGCGATAGAGACCAAAGGTAGTTCTAGACACAGAACACGTTGAGACTTCGTTGTAGTGATGTTTTGTTTGTAATCTGAAAAATAAAGCTTGCCTGAAGATCAGAGTGCAGAGCTAAGCCACTAGTTGGCCATAGGCCCAAGCAGGATGGCACACACCTTTAACCCCAGCACTAGGAAGGTGGAGACTGGAAGGGATATGGCTGAGTGGAGAGAGGAATACAAGGTGGGAGGAGACAAGAGCTCAGGTGCAGTCTGAGGATGCAGTCTGAGGTTTATCAGTCTAAGGATTTGTAGAGACAGGATCAGATCTGAACATTGGTGGAGGTGAGAACTCTGGTGGGACTGGAGAGATGGCTCAGTGGTTAAGAACATTGCCTGCTCTTCCAAAGGTCCTTAGTTCAATTCCCATCGACCACATGGTGGCTCACAACCATCTGTAATGAGATCTGGTGCCCTCTTCTGGCATGTGGGCATACAAGGAGGCAGAATGTTGTATACATAATAAATAAATCTTTAAAAAAAAACTCTCTGGTGGCTGGCTGTTCTGCTTCTCTGATCTTCGTGCATCTGACTGCAGGTTTTTATTATTAAGAACAATTAGAACTCATGCTGTTCTTCGTAGGGCGGCCATGCCTCATAAACTTTCTGCATCGGGAAACAAGTTTACGTGAAGCACGAATAATAAAAACCCAGAGACAGATACAGGAATTCAACCTGAAGATCAGAAAAGCAGGGCAGCCCAGCCACGCGAGAGCTCTTTCCTCTAAGAGATCCTCAGACTGGAAGAGAAGGAGTTCCTGTCTCATCCCAGGTTATATTCCTCTCTAGTGCTGGGATTAAAGGCGTGCACCGCTGCCCCGCTTCTGTGGTAGACTAGTGTGGCTGCTGCCTGGTCTGTCAGGCTGGCCAGCGTGGCTGTTCGACTCTGAGCTTCAGGCAAGCTTTTGTTTTTATTTTTGCTTCTTTGAGACAGGGTCACTCTGCTATGTAGCTTGGGCCGTCTAACAAGCTCCCATAAATGAACCTCTTAAGGCAGCTTTGATTGCATGCCACGGTACCTTCAAAATATCTTCCTTCTGCACTTTCAGTCATTGCTACTGATTAGCATAGTAAAGGTGAATTAACACAGAACCTGTACTTCCACAGAGAACTCTTGTCTTGGGAAGGGGGGAAGAAAAGAAAAAGTACCGGTCTCTAGCTCTGCTAAGACCCACCTCAAAGGGGAAAGGGACTGGAGAGATTTATTTGGTGGTTAAGAGGTGTACCGCTAGCCGGGCGGTGGTGGCGCAGGCCTTTAATCCCAGCACTTGGGAGGCAGAGGCAGGCGGATCTCTGTGAGTTCAAGACTAGCCTGGTCTACAAGACCTAGTTCCAGGACAGGCTCCAAAACCACAGAGAAACCCTGTCTCAAAAAACAAACAAACAAACAAACAAACAAAAAAAGAGGTGTACCGCTCTTGCAGAGGACTGGAGTTCAGTTCCCTGTACCCCCATGACAGCACACAGCCATCCAGGGCTCTGGTGCCCTCTTCTGGCCTCCACAGGCATTGCATGCACTTAGTATACAGTACATGCAGGCAAAATATCCATACACACAAAAACAAATTTTAAAAAATGAATCCTTTTGTTTTTATTTAGAAGGAGAGAGTTGTTCTCTGACTTTCATATATCAGGGATGGCATGCATATGTGTGCGGACCCCTCCCATGTTCATACACACAATTAAAAAAATAAAAGGTATGTTTTGTTTATTTGTTGTTGTTCTGGGCTTTTTGTTTGTTTTTTTGAGACAGGGTTTTCCTGTGTAACAGCCTTGTCTGTCCTGGAACCCTCTAGAGACCTGGATGGCCTC